AAGGGAAGGGAAGGGAAGGGAAGGGAAGGGAAAGGAAAGGGGAAAGACAGGCGTGGAGGGAGGTGGGGCTGGAGAGCAGAGGTGGGCGGTGAGAAAGGAGTAGTGGGCAGTGACCCAGGATGGCAGACGCATGACTCACAGCTGAACAGAAACCAGGACAGGAGGACCGACAGGAGGCAGGGGACCCAAGGTGAAGCCTCCTTCGCTCCTGCTGCTTCCTGCTCCTTTCCCACTGCGTTTCGTGGAAGCGTGCAGAGGACACGCGTGTGATAATCAGTCTCGTTCGGTTCCGTACACCCTTGATCTTCTCAGTGGGCCTGGGGGCCCACCGCCCGGTGTTCTGCAAAGCGGCTGTGTGATGAGCTGGGGTGCTTCCCGAGGAGCCCATTCTGTGGGGTGGGAGGCTGAGGCGGGACTCGGGGCCCAGCAGGGCTGCACCTGGGGCCCAGGTCTCTGGGTTTCTCACCCAATAATGAGAATTTGGAGATGAAATAAAGGGAGAAGAGATGATGGTGGGGAAAGTGGTCTGGGAAAGTGGGCCAGGAAAGTACAGGCATCGAAGACCAGATGGAAACCCCGCAGCTGAAGGATTCTTGGACGCTGCTTCTAAGGCAGCCCTCCCCACACTTTCTTCAGCGACACTGACCCGGCATTTTCTCTCTCTTTCAGGACCTCCTGTAAGTAACCCCAGCCGCAGCCTGTTCTCGCACATCCGAAAGGCCTTGCTCCCTGCTGGTAACCGGGCCCTGGGCGGGGGGACGGACAGCTGGCCCTGCTGTCTTCCTGGGGAGCCCCTACACCCTCCAGAGCAGTCTGCAGGGCCCCTCTGTTACAGACAGGGGACCTGACCCTGGGTGGGTCTGCCTAGGGCCGGCCCATAGTGTGTGGGTTCTTCATGCAAGAAAAATTTCACAGCATGAGAACAGGTGACTATGAGGGTGCATTTATTACAACTGGGGACAGTGGAACAGGAGGGGCTTAGCATAGAAGAAGCCACAGGAGAACCTAGGCTGGGCTGCTCTGATTCTCTAAAAATGTCACAGAAAATAAGTGAGCGGAGGTGGGACTGCTCACTGGGAAGTCAGAGAAAAGGGGACCTTGGAGACAGGTTCAGGGGTGAGCCCAGGACTGAGCCGCCGCTGCCCATTGCTGCCCTGGTTGCAAGTCTCGTGGGGTCCCTTAGAGTTTAGGAGACGCACGCCTGTGGGGGAAGAAGAAGAGGAAGGGAATTGGGGGGGAGGTGCTCCCAGAGAGAGAGCTCACACTGGGCCCTTTGTCTTGAGGGTTATATCTCTCTTTTGCAGGCGGGGAATCTTAGGGGAGGTCTCAGGGGAGGGTGTCAGCAGAATATGCATCAGGTTCCAGGTCTGCGCTTTCAGGGTCCTGGTCTCTACTGATGGGTCGGCGCCAGGGCCAGGGTTCCTTAGTCGCTGCAGCTGGTCCTGGGGTCGCCCCCCGGTTTTGCTGCTGTTCTGGGCCTGGAGCTGGAATAGCACTGAGGCCTAGATGTTCTCTAGGAGGTGACCCTCTGCATCAGCTGTAAATTGCCTGCCCAGTTTGTTCAGCTCTCTGCCTCGTTCCCAGTTCCACTGGTCCTGGCTCCCAGGCCTGTCTCGCCTCCAGCAGGTTGACACAGGGGAGAGGGCCGCCATTTTGCTCTCCGCGCACCTCTGCACCCCCTCCAGGGCCAGACAGCGGCGGCCCCCAAAGCAGGTCCCAATTTCAATCTGAAAGGCTGGCGGGCTCCATTGTTCGCCCAGCTCCTTTGTCCCTAAAGAGCTGGAGTCAAAGAAGCACCAGGTATTAAGAGAAGAAAGAGCACCTCTATTCAGTGCTGGTCCTTGGAGGCCTCCTGGCCATTCCGTGAGCAGGTCAGTGAGCAGCTCTCCGTGCGGACTGGTCCTGAGGACATGATGTCCGCCCCGCCGTGTGGGCAGCTCCGTTCTAGCCACGCCACTTTGGACCAGTGGTGGTTGCTATTAGGAGAGCAGTGTCAGCAGTTAGATCAGGAGACACAAATCACAGGCAGCACCTTGGCTCCTTCCCCTGGCGTCGCGAAGGCCAAGGGCGGGGCGGGGAGCCTAGGCATTTCCAGAGAACCTGAGAAGCATTCAAGGAGACTGGCCCCCGAAGTAATAGATGCAGAGAACAGGAGCGTGTCTTCTTGAGGACAGCATTTGATACCCCAACAAAAGGCCCCGAGGTCACAGGGGCGGCTGGAGGCGGGAGTTGAAAGGGCCCGGCCCTCAGCATCAGATCTTTCTCAAGGTTACTGAAAGCAGCCGGTGCCACCCCTCCGCAGAGAAGGCATTTCCATCCTTTCTTCCTCTTGACCCGTGCCTGCGAGAGTGCCGGCCCAGTCCGTAGTAAGACATGATTTACTCTTCCACGTGTGTCCCGAGCAGTGCATTGGGCCCATGCACCACCTCCCAGTTACAGGGAGGGAAGAAAATCGTGGTGCTCCCTGAAAGGAGGGGTGATTTATCCTGACATGTCTTAGATGACAGACCTCAATTCCTGCCATCAATCTTCCAAAATAAACTCTGCCATCGGAGACCTCGACAGACCACCTGCTGGAACTGGGCTGCTCTCCCCCTTCTTTTTGGACAAAGCCAAAAAAGAGTCCTCATCTCCCCACTCCCGGGACTTCCCCGTTCACTTCTCCCCACAGCCAGGCTGCTGGGCTCACCCGGTGGCTCAGCTCAGGGTCCCTGCCCGTCTGCCTGGAGGGCCTGCCCTCACCGGGAACCGAGCATTCTGAGAGCTCTGTTCCCAGCCAGAGAGGGCGCTGCCCCTCCTGCGGGCTCTGCAGTGCAGGAGCAAATGGGAGGGTTGCATCTGAATCTCCCCTTGTATCCTGCCCACCTGGGCACCCCCAGAGCCATCGAGTGAGGGGGAGGAGCCCCAGGAGCTGCCCCACATTCTCAGCCTGACACAGAGGAGTCCTGAATCTTTCAACCGGGCTGAAACCGCAGGCAGGATGAGGAGGAAATCAGAAACTGGCCAGGGTGGGAATCACCGCCTAGCCCTGTTTTCTCTGCTTCTGCAAAGAAACAATGCCATTGGCCAGAGGTGAGGGGTAGGGAGAGGGCAGCTGGTTGCAACGCCTGCCTGCTGCCCCCTGGTTGTGTCTCAGGGACCCCTCTTGGGGTGGCTCTGTACTCCAGTCGAAAGACCCACATTCCCGTGGGCACAAGGACCGCCAGTGGCTGGAGAACACAGCCACAGGAAGGTGGCTTTCAGTAGCAGCAGGAATCATTTAAGGGGTACGAAATGTGTGGCCACCACTGCCCAGCCCCTCATGCCCATGGCAGACATTGCTAATCAATTAGGAGGCCTTTTACCATAGTGTTTTTATTCAACCCGTTGGGGTCCACACTCATGCTGACATCTGTTGGCCATGCCTGCACTAGATGTAAGAGAGAATTCTTAATGGTGGGAACCATGAGACTGAGACAGATGACTGAGGGAAGAAGGGCTGTCTCTTTCTCTGGAGGAAGATAGGGAAATCTATGATGGCCAGCTGTCAGCCTGGGTCGACTGTGATCCTTGAATGTGATCAAGGCCCTCCCCTCATGTTGTTCATGAAATAACAGAGGCTCGTAGAGCAGAAGCGACTCCAGGTCACATAGCTGGTGGGGCAGGTATACAATACCCTGACCTTCACACACTTCTCTCTCCCCCTTTATTTCAGGGTCCTATTGGAAGACCCGGCCTCCCGGTGAGTAGCTTTCATTTCTTCTTCTGCGTCTGTCTCACATGCTCTTCCTCAGCCCAAGCGCCGCGAGGTTGGGTGGCTGCTTTCCTCCAGCTGTGGCGGGACGAGCGGCCTCTCCCCAGCTTCTCTGGCCCGTAGCTGAGGGGGAAGCTCCCCGGTACCTCCTGGGCCCAGACAGGCAGGTGACAGCACGCAGCCCCTCCCACGCTGGATCTGACTTCCAGACTGATGGCCCTGTAATGGAGGCCTAACGAGGGCATTCTCTTGCACACCAGCTAGGAGTAAGACCACTGTCCCTGCCTTGTCCTAGGCCCTCTGGTGAGAGTACACTCACTCAAAAACTTGGTTTTCACCCCAGTTACCTTATCCGAAAGCTAGAGAGGCTGTGCCAAGTAACCGTGGAGGCTTTGAAATAAAAGCAGAAATAATACTAATAGTCAGCTCTCATTGAGACCTTAATACGTGCCAAGCACTATGCCAATCACTTTTCATACATTTGATTTGTCAACAACTCAGTGAAATGGATATCATTATGCCCATTTTATTGATGAGGAAACTAAGACACAGAGAGGTGACATCCCTTGTCCAATGGTCCAAGCTTCCGTTGTAAACCTCTCGGAAGCCCCTGTTATCACACACCATTCCGTACTGCTGTTTCCTGTGGTCCATGCTCCATGTCTGAGAACCGTCTTTAAAGTCTTCACAGGCATTGCTCTGTAGGATGTAGCCTGGGACACATATGCATTGAGTACTGGAGACTGTGGGCCCCTGGGTGGAGAGGGACTCGGCAAGACGCCGTAGCCAGCCATGGGGTGGAGGCAAGGTGTGGCCCAGGGCTGACACCAGGTTGCCCTCTCTCCCTGCGCCGAAGGCCACATCCATTGAATTCCAGACCCGTGTGCATCCCTCTTACCCCAGTTACTCCTCTTTGGACATGGATTATACTGTAACCTCGTGGCTAATCCAACAGCTTCTAGAATTCATGTCCAGCAGTGACTTTCTTAATGAAATGCATGTGGGAGAATATTTAGCCTTGAAAATGGAAACTCGCCCAGTAAGTCCAAGCCCCGAAGCAGAGGAGGACGGGTGAATCGGTCCCATGAAACCCAAGGAGGGGGGAAATCAGATGACTGGGGGAACGTGGGCAGACTTTGTTTTTCTGACAACGTCCACCTTTAAAAAGCATTTGGGGGCAATTCACAGAGCAGGGGCTGCTGCACAGAGTTTCCAGTCTCTGGCCACTCCGCGCCTGTCCCGAACCCCAGTGTTTTATGGCCAGGACTGCAAAGAACATTAGTTTCAAAAAAGAAATGAAAAGAAACCAAAACACACATCCTGCAATAACATTCAAAAGCCCGAGAGTAAGTGGGCCACGGGGATGTCACACCCGACGGTCAGCGGGCCTGGTGCCCGTGGCAGAAAGGGCCACACTGAGCCACAGGTCACGGTCCTGCTCCTGCGTCTGCACGAAGGGACCTGTGAGTGACCCACGGGAGAGCTGCTGACGCCGGCCCATTGTGAAATGCAAAATGTGGGAAGGATAAACATGCTCACAAAATCCACTGGCCCGCTGGCCTCCTCCCCCTCGATGCCATTTACGCAACACTCCCCAGGTGCCAACACCGGGAGTAAGCTTTCCAGAAAGGACATCTGAGGGCCGCCGCCCAGCAGCCCATGAGCAAGGTGCAGACGCTCAGGGAGGCTAAGGAAACAGAGCCATGCATAAGACCAACGCCGCGGCCCTGCCACACAGCAAAGGCCAGCGTTTCACTCAAGATGCCCTTGGTCTTGACAAGGCACACGTCACCAGAGCCTAATTTCAGAACTAACTGCTACTCTCTGGTGCGTCCACGTGTATTTTGGGGTACTACTTGTCCCTCGGGGCATTTTGCCTCAGTGCAGTCCGCAGACACGGAATTGCCCCAGAAATGCCCGCACCTTCAGGAGAGTCCACAAGCCCAGCTTCACCCGCTCAGCAGGACAAACACCATCTGAGTTTTGGCCCCCACTGCTTTCCATCTTTGCAGCCTCCCAGCAAACCCAGGCCCACCCCAGAATTTATGATGTCTGCACACGTGTAATTGCAAAAAAATGTTTTCTTACCAAAAGGGGGAGGAACAAAACTTAATAAGCAGATTTCCAGAGTGAGAAGATGTAACCCTGGCTACAAAACAAAGCATTTCCCCCTGGGCAGCTGCAGCTCGTGATGCGGCCGCATCCACAGGGCTCACGGTCCCTCCTGTTGGTGCTGGGGGTGGCCGAGTGGAGGGGTGTGGAAGGGCAGAGAGCCTGGGAGGAGCCGGGGAGTGTGGGCACTGCTCCCCAGCTTTGGCAAAGACAGAGCTAGGAAAGTGCTTCACGTATCTGTTATATGGGAGCTGCCACTCACCCTGCTCTGAGCCTGGAAGCTGAGTGACAAGGATCTAAGGCAGTGATGGCGAACCTATGACACACATGTCAGAGGTGACACGCGAACTCATTTTTTTGGTTGATTTTTCTTTGTTAAATGGCATTTAAATATATAAAATAAATATCAAAAATATAAGTCTTTGTTTTACTATGGTTGCAAACATCAAAAAATTTCTATATGTGACACGGCACCAGAGTTAAGTTAGGGTTTTTCAAAATGCTGACACGCCGAGCTCAAAAGGTTCGCCATCACTGATCTAAGGGAAGCAGAGCCTGGGACTCCGAGTGGAACACAGGGAAACCCAGGCTGGGGACCAGACTCCTACATGAGCGCTCTTACCGCAGCACCAGGCCTGAGGGCAGATAGCGGTAGGGTGGCTGCTTGCAGAACAGTCTGTGGGGGCCAGATGGGCAAGTTCACTCACACGATGCCTGGGCACCGTCCCAGCTGCCCATGCAAACCAGGTCTTAGGTGCACAGTTCCCAGGGGGCCCTTCACACGCTGGCCCAGCTCCAGCCGCATCTAACTGTCTCTGCCTCCTTCATCAGGGGGACAAAGGTGCCATTGGGATGCCAGGACGTGTGGTGAGTTGGGGCATTTTTATCTGCTTGGGTGGCCATTGCTTGCTTCTCCACGCTGGCCTGTCCTCCAAACCGTGACAAGATGCTGCCTGCCCCAGGGGCAAGAGGAGAGGGCAGGGGATTTGGACCTCTCCCTCCCCCCGCCCCCACCCCGCCCAAGTCAGCTGCAGGAGGGACAGGCCAGGAGGAGAGGAGTTTTATTTCAACCCTTCAGCTCTCCCAGTGTGGCTTTACTCTCCAGAGAGCTGCCATGGCAAAGGGAAACTCCAAGAAAAAGCATCACTAAAGCTCTTTACGCGTCACCCTGGGAGGACAGGGTGAGGCCCAAACCCCTCTTGATAGTGTGAGGATTCCCACCCACTCCACCCCTGAGGCTGGCAGCTCACCCTCAGATGTATAGCGGCTCCTGCAGCCACCACCACCACCGCCCCCAGCCCCCGGCAAGAGGAGCAAAAGACCCGGGGAGGGGCGGGGGCAGGGAGAGAAATGCAGTCTCCAGGTGCTCTCTGGACACCACGTGGAGCGGCTTCTGGAGGCATCTTCCCTAGACAGAGCCTAGAAGATGGTGAAGGCGGGGCTGCTCCAGGCAGTGCTTCCAAACCCTCACCAGGAGGCTGGGAGTCAAACACTTAAGGGCTCCAGCTGAAAATTAGATGGCGAAAGGGAAACAGGAGTGTTTGACAGGGAGAGTGTTCAGAGATGGGGAGGCCAGCCCTGGGCCTGCAGGTCCCAGTGCTAAGACTTCCCTGGTGGCTTCCAGTGTCTGAGCGGCTAGGAAGGGCAGGACAGACTCAGGCTGGCAGCCCAGGGCCCTGATGGCCATACCCGGCCTCACCACCACCCTGTCTGACCCCTAACTCCCCTCCTGCCATCAGCCTTGACCTTCAACCTGGCTCCCGGGTGCTCCCTGATTACCCCTCTGCCAACCTTCCGTGTCACTCGCATGCTTTTCCTCAGCACCTCACCTCCCGGGCTGGTCGGCTGTAGGCCTGGGTATGGCATCCTTGTGCAAGTTTGCTTGCTGGTGTGAGCCTGGTGCCCAGAGCGAAGGCATCCAGACCACAGCTAACGCTGGAGAGTGCTAACTGCATGCGGGCGTTGTGCTAAGAGCCTCCGTGCATCGCTCACTCGGTCCTCACTAGAACCATAGGAGGTAGGCGCCGTTTCCACCCCCATTTTTCAGGTGAGGAAATTGAGGCTCAGATGTTGTGTCTTTCTCAAGGTCACATGGCCAGGAAGTGGCTGATCAGGGCTTTACTCCAGGCAGCCTGACTCCAGACCTGTGCCCTTGACCCTGACAATGCTACTTCCCCTCCCCAACACTGGCATCACGGCTCTGAGGAGGGTCTGATCCTTAGGGTGGCGCCTCAGGACTTAGGTCAAGGATCCAGGACGTTTCAGAGGGTCAGGACAAGTGGCGTTCCAGGTCACAGAGCTTTGAGCTCCCCAGGGCCCAGCCATGGGCGCTCCCCCCACCTCCCAGGCCACAGCACTGGCCCTGACTCCCTCCTTCCGTTCTCTGACTCCAGACATGAGTCCCCCAAGCTGCACTGGGTCCTGCTCTGAGGAGAGCAGGGAAAGGACATTCAGCCAGCCTTTCTCAGGGGCTTGCTGTGGGTGGGCCTAAGCCAGGCACAGTCTCCACTGTAGCCCTCCAACAAGGATCCCACTTTATTGATGGGAATGTTGAGGCTCAGGCCAGGGCTGGGGTGGAGTTGGCTTTTGTACCCAAGCTGACCGTCAGACTCTAAACTCTTTGTGCCTAACAGGTAAGCTTCGGAAACTACACTCAGAGTGCAGCCACCAGGCTGCTGGGCAGATTGCCAATGAAAGCTGCCCCCTCCTGCTGCCCCTCAGGGCCTGCCCCTACTGCTGCCCCTCAGGGCCTGCCCCTCCTGCTGCCCTCCTGCCCTCCTTCTTGGGGCCTGTGGGCATGTTCCCCCAGACACTATCCATCTGAGCCTAGTCCTGCCCACTGGAGGCAGAGCCACGGGAGGTCTCCCCATTTCCTTCCCCACACAGCTATTTTCAAGCTGAGGGTTTCCTGCTGCTTGTGCTATTTTAAATGTGACAATGGGCCCATTTGGCTGCCCAGTAGTAGTCCTGGCAGGAGCCACCTGATAAGAACTGGGGTGGCCAGGAGGTGTGAAATGCCTGAGGAGTTGTCCCGTGGTTCACCAGGGGTGGCACCACTGGCTTCTAAGGATTAGGGTCCAGTGGGGCTGTCTATCCACTGGTCACTATGGTTACAGGGACCCTGGGCCATTACCCAGTTTCCTCTGCATCTCAGATCCATCCTCCATCCTCCCAGATGTGTGTGTCCTACTATCTGTCCTCCCATGTTGCTCCAACCCCTCTCCCGCCATCTTGCCTGGCCAGCCCTAAGGACTCCTGGTGTGTCTGCTGTGCTTGGTGCTCAGTTAGACCTTCACACCAACCAGATTCCACTCCACAACGCAGTCCCTGGGAAAGTCTCCCCATGGCCACCCAGATGGGGCCATGACTTCTCAGGCAGATTTTCCAACCTGCGTGTTCTCTCTCTCTCTCTCTCTCTCTCTCTCTCTCTCTCTCTCACACATGCACACACATGCACACACGCACACATGCACGCAGGCTTGGAGAAGGCCTCTGTTATCTGGAAGGGCTGGGGCTGGCTGGGGCCAGACCAAGGGCTGAGGCAATAGCCATGCACACGCGGTGCTTGCCAGAGGCGGGACCTGTCATGTGTCAGCATCTGTGTTTTGTTTTATTTCTCATTTCACGGCGATTTCTTTTGTTTGGTTGTTGTGCCATTAACACAGATTCTTGTGTGTGCGCCTCTCTCTCATCCTTTCTTTTTCTCTCCCTCCCTCTCTCTCCCCTGCACCCTGTGTTGCATGTGGCTGCCCCAGGGAGTAAAGGGCCAACCAGGCGAGAAGGTGAGTCCACACTTTCCCCTCTGCCCTTCCGCCCTGGCCGTTGCGTCCACCCCGTGGACTCTTGGGGGCTTTCAGAGGCCCCAGCTCAGCCCTCCCGCTGGCATGCCCGGGGAGCAGAGCTGCCAGCTGGGCCTGCGGGCCCTCAGCCTCTCACGCCGTTTCCTAACAGCTTCCACACCGTCAGGCTGGGGTCTTGGGATTCCTGGGCTGAGCCCCAAGCCTCCTAGCGAGTGGGTCCTCCCACCCCCCCCCACCCCCGCCTGCTGAGCTGCCTGTGCCGGTGCCTGCAGCTCTGACTCTGGGCCTTGGGCAGTCACCCTTCCCAGAGGCAGGGAGAGCACATCCCTGTTCTGAGTGGGATGCGGCCTCCTGCCCCCCTCCCAGCAGGCACTGCCTGGGTCCTTCTGTCAGAGCATCACCTCTCATCCCATCTGCTCCATACACCTTCATTCTCCTTCTGTTGCCCTCCCCACCACGCAGACCCCTCTGTGTCACCCTGAGCCAGGACTAGGAAGTTCCAGGCAGCTCGGCCTCAGGCTCAGGGTGCTGGGCCCACACAGCCAGTGTGTGTCGTGTCCCCCACTCTGTTTCAGCAGCTCCATCCAGGGGGCAGGCTGCTGTCCCTCAGTTGCAGGGTGGGCAGCCCCATGGGTATTTGGGGATGGGGATGGGGGTGGGGAAGAAGGCCTGGGGGCTGGACACTTGGGTGGGACAGAGGCAGGTCAGAGAGGTACTGAGGAGGGCGGTGGGGAGAGGCTTCTGGGGCCTGAGCAGCCATGGCTGAGCTGTGCTCCTCCCTTCTCCCTCCCCCCTCCTCACCCCCCTCCCCCGGTGCTGCCCTCTTGCCCACCACTGCACTGAATCCTCTTCTCCAATTTCTGGGCCTGGGCTCCTACCGCCCTCTTTCCTGGTCCCCACATCCTATGCTCTTGCTACATCTCCTCTTGCTTTGTCCCTCCCGCCTGCTCGCTGCTCTCCTCAAACTTTCCTGGATGCTTCCTCCATCCTGGGCCTCCTCTCCCCTGACCTCCCTCTTGCTGTGCATCCTCTGGCCCTTCTGTCCTCCCTCTCTGGCTGGCACTCCATCCTGGCATGCTCCTCCTTCCCCACCTGCCAGCCCCTCCCTCTGACTCTTCTCTTCCCACCCTCTCCCCTCCTGCCTGCGCCCGGCTCCCTCTCCCTCTCTGCTTTCTCTCTTCCATAGGGGGCCCCAGGAGATGCCGGGATGTCCATCATCGGGCCCCGAGGCCCCCCTGTGAGTGGTCTTTGCTTTTCTTGGGGGCTGGGGGGGGATGGGCGGGATGGGTGAGTTAATGAAAAGGGCTTGGGGTGGAGGCTTTGCCTCTGGGTGTGGAGACACCACATGTGACGGTTGCCAGGCCAGGCCTCAGGGCTGCTGTGGATGGTAGCGAGTGGCCTGACTAAATATACCTAAATTACAGCCTCTAGATTACGAAACTGCAGCAGCTGCCAGATGGCCCTGCTGTTTCTAGCCAAAGGGGAGGACGTGCCCACTCCGGCCGGGAGGGGGTGCTCCAGTTTCCAGGGCACAAGCCTGGTTCTGGGAGCCCCTGGAGCAAATACCCACGCACAGAGTCCCTGATCCCCACCCACTGCTGGTCCCGGGGAGGCCCGAGCCACCTCTCGCCCCCAGAGCTCCTTTGTGCTTAGTCTGGCCCTGTGTCTTACTCCCTCCGCCCAGCAGCTGGGGCTGGGGAAGGTCAGAGAGGATTCCATGTAGATAAGCTCCCGTAGGGACCAGCGGGTGATGTGGGTGCTGATGTGGGAAGATGCGGTGACTCTGGAAAGAAGGCCTGGCTGCTTTTCTCAAAGAATGCCTGAGCCACGGGGCTGCCATAACATCACCAATCATTGCCCTGGCCAGTGTGGCTAAGTGGTTGGAGTATCATCCGTACACCAAAGGGTCGCGGGTTTGGTTCCTGGTCGGGCACATACCCAGGTTGTGGGTCCATCTCAGATCAGGGCACATATGGAAGGCAACCGATTGCTGTTTCTTTCTCACATTGATGCTTCTCTCCCTCTCCCTTTCTCTCTCTGAAATCAATCAAAACCACCAGCCGTCAGGGTGGAAAGGACCTCAGCAGTGGAAGGCACAGCCCTCTAAGAAGGGGCAACAGGTCCAGGGAGGGGAAGGGGCTGGCCAGGGTCCCACACATAGAGGCTAGGGCAGGATCAGAACCCAGGACCCTGGCATCCAGGGCTTCCACCACAGCAGCAGGCCACCCTCTCCATGTTCTATGTGCTTTTCTTGACCTGCTATTTACAATGAGAGGGCGAGGGGAGCTGCGCCTTCTACTCGGGTGACAGCTTCTGGGAGTCTGAGGCTAGCCCCATGGATGGGGAAAGCTCAGCCTGCCACTCTCCTGCCTTCAACGGGGCCAGCCAATAGAAAGCAGGAGTCTTCTCTTTTACCCACAGTCTAAGGAGAGGGGTCAGATGGGAAACTGCGAGGTTAGGTCCAAGGGAGGGAGTTGTGATGAGCTAAGCAGCCAGGGCAGGGCGATGGTGAGCGCTGGGAGCTGAGAGGTGGAGCCAGGCAGGCTGCCTGGAGCCTGGGAAGGTCAGACAGGCTGTCCCCCCTTCTATTTTCAGCAGCTCCATCCAGGGGCAGGCTGCTGTTCACAAGGAGACACCCTCATCAGGCCGATACACATGTTGCGTGTTTCGTGGTGTATTTATTCCATTAACATGTGTTGGGCACCTCCTGCATGCTAGGCAGGGCACACAAGGCAAACCTGGCTGCAGCTGCTGGCCCCTTGACAGGAGACCAGCAATGCCCTAGTGTTTACAATGCAGTCACTGCTCAGCCCGGGCGGTTAGGGAGCTGTGGGGACACGGAGGAGGCGCCTGGCCTGGGTGGGGGCAGGCCGGGAAGGCTTCTGGGAGGAAGGAATCACTAAATCGTGTGATCAAGGACGAGCAGAGGTGACTCGGGTACCAGGCTGGGGAGGAGCCCTGAGTCCGGAGGCAGGATAGCTCCTTCTAAACGACTAGAGAAATGAGGAAGTTCCTTCCAGAGCAAAGCAAGGGTGAGGCTGGCAATGAGCAAGGCTATGACCAGGAAGGACCCGGGCGGGCGCCATGCTCAGGAGTTGGACTTTCTCCTGAGGGCAGGCGAGAGCCCTGGGGCTGCGTTCAGCTGAGGAGGGACAGGATCAGATTTGCAGTTTAGAAAGATCTCCTGATGCCCCCGTTCCCGTGCATGGAGAATGTTTAGAAGAGGCCGAAGGTGGGGGCCTGGCTAGAAGGCACCTGCAATAGTCAAGACCCAGACTGGAGCACAGTCCCTGGGGCTGGTGGGAGTGCGAGGCTGGCGAGATATTTTGGAGGTGGAATTGGCGGAACGTAATAAAAATGGGGATTGAGGGAGGAGGAGTCCCAGGTGATCCTGTATTTCTGACTTGGTAACAGAGTAGATGGGGTGCCTTCCCCGGAGGGAAGAGCAGATTTTGCTGGGAGAAGTAAGTTTAATCTGAGCATAATGAGTTGGAGATGTCCTTGCAACATCTCACAGGGGAGTGGCCCTCCGTTTGCAGCTGGAGTTCCCAGGGCTGGCATTCTAAGCTGGCTCACACTGGCTCACTAGAGCCAGTCCTTCACACCCCTCCCAGTTCAGTGCCATCACACTGGGAGCTTGAAACCAGCCATGGTGGGAGCCTTTACACCACAGACAGTTGCAAATGCTGTACAAGCATGCGCCCTTGACTGGAATTGAACCCAGGACCCTTCAGTCTGCAGGCAGATGCTCTATCCACTGAGCCAAACCAGCTAGGGCCAAGTTAATTTTTATGGGGTTGAGAGACCAACAAAATAATATTCAATTCATTTGGAAAAAGGAAGCTTGTGAGGATATCAGGAAAATTCTGATATCCTCTGGCATGAGCCCTAATCTCCTGGTTCATGAGCCACAACTAGCCACTGAGCCGTGCTGGCCGGGTTCATGTTTAACTTGGGAAAGACCTTCAAAACACAACATAAAACCCAGAAGCCACAAGAAACTGTTGTTTGACAAGATGGATAAGTTTGTCAACATAAATATAAAACTTCCATCTGGCACAAAGTAGTTCATTAGAAAGGCAAATGCCAATGGGAAGAATGCTTGCAGCGTGATTACCAAAGAGTCACTGTGCTTGACAAAGAGCTTTACTCAAATCAATGGGAAAAAACACTAACAACCTAGTCCAGTGGTTCTCAACCTTCCCAATGCCGCGACCCTTTAATACAGTTCCTCATGTTGTGGTGACCCCCAACCATAAAATTATTTT